CTGGTCTGAATTTCCCAATTCTTCCTGTGTCACCTTCTCTTCCTCCTGGGACCCGGAAATCCCACCTTCTCCTCTTCGCCCAGCAATTGGCTTCTGTCGTTTTTATTGACATAATCAAGAAGCAATTAGGGAACCAGATTTCAGTATCAGCTCCTCCCCGTACATCACACTTTGAAACCCTCATGTTCAAGCTGGCTAAATCCACCTAACTCCAGGTAGAATGCAAGATGCCAAGGAGCAGAACCTATGCTGGCTGCTCTTGTCCCTGTAACTGTAGCTGGCACCTGATAACGTATCATCACATATCTCTGGAAAGAAAGGCCATTTAAGGCCTAAGTCAATTAAATTTTTCTTAAAACATCCCCCCCCCCAAAAAAAACCTCCTACAGGTGCTTTGAAGAGACAAGTTTGTTTAAGGTAGATGTTATTCTGCATCCTTGAACCCAATGTATAAGCTTTCTCTTTTGCCCTTTATGCCAGAGCGTTCTTGGGAAAACCTTTTCCCCTTTCTCTCTCTGCTTAGACTTCAAGGTGCACAAGAGCCGCCTCCTTGGCAGGCTAGGAAGGAGGCTTTGATTCCTCCTGGCTTTGCTGTGTGTCTAATAGATGACCCAACACTCTACATTTGACTTCATGTTCAGATGGGCCAATGAATGGCAGAGAAGCATACTGACAATGTATCAGCTGTGCTTGTCTGTTCACTTAGACTTAAGCCTGCAGCCAAGGCTCTCTAGATCTAAAGATACAAAGCAATACATAACCTTTAACTGCTACTGTTCCATAAACTGCCAGTTTCAGAGTGAATGCCATTTTGATATGTGTGTGTTTGACAATTACTATCCCAGACTATTTATTCAAATAACATCCTTACTACTTATTGACAAGTACTATGCTTTTGGCATTTTTCCTTTCCCATTAAACTGGTTTCAGTTTGCTTCCAAATCAAATCTGTTACACTGAGATTTTTGTGGGTGCATTTGTTCCAAAGCTCCCAAATCATCTTGCAAAAAGCACTTTGCTTGATAAAAACCTTGACGGTGATAATTGAATTAAACAATAGTGCCCCTCAGAGCTAGATGCCACATTCTTGATACCTTTGTTTATATAGATTCCTTCATTTAAGCATAGTCTTAAAATTAATGATGTATTACTACTAAAATAATGGCTATAGATAATGTTATATGTAAACATTGAGTAGCATGTACTTTTTACCTGATGGCTCCTGGGCACTCATGACACAGCACCTACGGTAGGGTTATGAGACGTGTTTGTTAAGGGGATCTTGAGAAATAGAATCTGCGTAGTATTCAGTGTGCAGAAGAGCCCAGAAGTATCTCAGAAATACAAAAGTCAATGCAGTTTGCTCTGGAAGTGGTTAGTCCTTGGACAGGTAATCTTACTTTTTCTTCTGACCTTATTTGTGTAGTAGTGACATGAATTCTGAGACACTCCACGCGTTTTCCAGGAAGGAACAGAAGTAGAGGAATCGAATGCTTTCCTTCCTTACTCATTAAGAAACCGAATGTCCTACACTCACAGGGGTTCGTGACTTCCAGGGCTTTGTGTGCTTTGTTGACTACTCATTTAGTACTTCTAACAGAATGTTTCTAAAATGATGTCAACAAAAATGCATGACAGGTACGAAACACAGGCTATGGCAATCACTAAGAAAACACAGAGAGGGGCACTAGTAGATTTTTAAAAACTATTTTAATACAAGATTAATAGCAATTTTCTATCCAAATCAGAAATGAAAAAAAAAATCTTAACCCAAATAATAGTCGTTTGACAGTCACATAAAGTTTCAGTTTTGATTGGTGCACACATTTATCCTGCATATGTTTTCTGTATATGCACACAGAGACAGCACTGTGGTACCCTCATTAAGGTGTTGCTCATGAAGTCCCTCATAACAAGGCAATGCCAAAGATTGCAGCATCCACTCCCAGTGAAGTCCCACACATTCCCATGCTAAGCTGAGTCTGGGCTATAGCAAATTATGACATAGCAAGTCTCCAGAATGCGTACAAATCAATACTCTATTTGTATATGTTGGCCTAAAACTAAGCACTGGCTAATGTCTCTACCAAGGAGGAATACAATGCAGATTTGTAAGTTATGGACTCCTTTGCTCTTCTGGCAGCAAGGATGTGTGTGTGTGTATATATATATATATATACCCTTATGCATATATATGCATAAATTTAAATATCTGCTAGTGACTGTAAGTCAAAGAAAATGAGATTGAGTATCTGCAAGCTTTTAGAGAAGTCAAATGCTACATTTGCCAAATTTGAAACCTAAAGTCAAACCACCTGGTGGTACTCAGCCTTGCAGAGAGGTGAGAAAAAATTCGAAAGCCAGGGTCTTACTGAGTTTCATTCCTCCTTGAGGACTTAAGTTGGTGCTTAGTCTGTAGCCAAAATATGTATGTAATGGCAAGAAGAATTAAAGAAGTCTAATGTCTATAGCAGGGAATGTAAATTAAGTTTCATGGTTTTGCATCCAATAACATTTTCAATGTGTTTGATTTAAAGAATGCCCCTTTTGAAACTACCACTGCTCGTCAATGGGCGGAGTTTTTCAGTGTAGACAAAGTAGTTTCTCTCCCTTATGTTTGATGCAGGTGATTCATGTCACCGTCCTCCTTGGGTAAATCACGGCAAGGGAGTCAGAATTCTAGTGCTGCAGCCGGTGATGGCTGTAATCAAAGTGCCAACTTGGCCTTCACTGCAGTGACAGAAAGCTGTCTTGTGGTTGCGAATTCAGAACTACAGGGTTCTTGTTCATAAATTTACAGTTCATTCTTCTCTGCTGAAGACATTAGCCTCCATTTAGCCTTTGTTGTAACATATACAAACTATAATAAACATCAGTTACAGACGGGTATTTCTGTTAGAAAAATACATATTAAAACTAAGGAACATGTAAATAGAGGCACTTCAATAAGCTAAGTGTTTGCAGTTATGAGCATCACCCACCAGTGTCTAGTGTCCAATTCTGGGGCACCTGTTCCTCTCTACTCATAACACAAGTCGTGATGTGATTATAGATGTTTAGGGGACGACGTCACAAATGAGGGCAGGCCGTGGATCACTACGCTGGAATGAGAAACTCAGTCTGGGAGGAAGATCCCAAAGTACTAAACGAAAAGGCTTAGGGGACAGGAAAAAGAAACCTTAAATATTAAATCAGTCTAAAACCCATATGGTGGGCAGTGACAATGGCCAGGAAGGGCAAGTGAAAACATTTTGTCCATGTCCATGTAAGATGACCAACAATGTGGCTTTGTCAGCTGACCCTCATTTCAGTTCTGCCTGGCTCACGGGCATCACTTTCTCTCGTCAATAGACACCCTTGAGAATGCAGGTGTTGAATCAAAACGAACAGGTATTTCTAGATTACTTGTGTGATGAGTGTGCACAGAACGTGGGCTCACAATCATTAATGTAATGTGTTGTCATGTAAACCATCTGGGGACAAAAAGCATAGCAAGGAACAAGACATCTTGGTTTGTTTTATAGAAGATAGTGCAGAAATATTTTAAAAAGGAAGTCAGAGTTTAAAGCCATAAAAAGAAGTTATTACTCAAATATCCTGGAGAATCAACATTGGTTTAATTTGTATTGCACCATGATTATTGGGAAAAAAACAATACTGATTTCTGAATATACAGTGAGCCGCCTAACATAAATGGCTGGTCCTTCATAGAGATGTGTTGTTATGTGTAACCGGGGATTAGAAGCCAAAGTGGGATTTTCAGAAAGGATGCAATTCTGAATTGAATTAAGTGTTAATGTCACACAAATGTAAATTGAAAGATGCCACAGAGTCTCTCGGAATCTTACGTTGCTTATTTTGTTAGGCATAAAGTGGTAACAGATGCTTGTAAATACGTTCTGTCTTTCGAAAGTGCTCAAATATACTTAATACGAGTGCATGTGTTCTACTTAGACGTGATGACTAAATCGGTAACTAGTTTTCATTTTGGTGAGAACAGAGATAGAAAAATATCACTTATGTGTCAATACTGCCGATGAGCCAGTAAAGATGCGACTGGCATGCTGTGTCGTCATAAGATACTTTCCTTCCCTATCCCAGATGCATCATAAAAACAAACAAAACAAACAAACAAACAAACAAACAAAAGAACACGTTTAGCCAACTGTCTTCATACAACCCCAGTTTGGCGTATTTTGCTTCTCTCTGTCAGGGGAAGCATTGGGCCTGGCTTGGTGGACAGGTTAGGCAGTGGCTGTAAAAACGGCCTCTTGAATTTAGGCCATTCAGAATAGTACCTGGTAAAGTCCTAGGCCAGAGGTGCTGTACATGAGAGCAATGTTGTTTTTTTTTTTTTTTCATGAATAACATTCTTTACACACACATATTCTGTCACCAGTCACATCTTGCACGCCAGGCTTGTCCCATGAGCTCAGGACAGTTTGGAGCACCAGGGGCGAAGCAAACTTGTGTGAGAAGGGTGGGCCCTGGCAAACTTGTCATCAATGGACAGCTAGATACATAAAAAGATCTCGTTCTCGATTCTTGGTGCTCGCAGATCACTAAGGAGTCTGTTCTCTGAGCAGCACGGAACAAGAGGGGGGGTGGTTGACAAAACAGTTCTGTTACAAAGGAGTGTCAACCCTGAGCTTGGAATTAAGAAGTTAAAATCTGTGATTTATATATATATATATAGATATAAAAATAGATGATCATACTAAGACTAAAAAAGTGAAAAGAATCTCCATGTCAATACTATATATAATGTTTTTTTTCTCTCTTCTTTTTTGTCTTGACTTTTTTGTTGTTGTGAGTTGTTTTTGTTAAGAAATGCCCTTGTGATGCTGAAACCAATTGACACAAAGAGTCAGTAACAAAACGTCATGTGTGGAGCTAATGTCATGTCAGTCAGAGAACCCTTGTCTGGGGGAGAGTCCGGAACACAGGAGCTGAGACATCTGCTTCATGTCAGTCTGGTGGAGAAAGAAGAGACTGTACCATTGAAGATGATTGTTTTAGTCAAGGCCTAGGAGAGAGGAGACTAGTTGGGGGGGGGCATCTATGAAAAACTGAAGACAATCAGTGTCAATTGGATACAACGGACAGACTTTAGAAGACAGAAAATGCTGCTGTCCGTGAGAGGTGGGATCGGGCAGGTGGAAGAGAGGAGTTGAGTTGCAACAAGATTACGCTCATATAAAGACAGTCCTAAATTTCCTATCGGTACCTCCGAATCAGTTTGGTTAGAGTCCAAGACAACAGTGTATTTCCACTACATAAAAATGTTATACCTTCTCCTCATAAGCATTTTTGTAAACCTCGTTTGTCACAGAAAAGCTCACCCCAGGAGTTGGCTGTCAATGCCAAACCTGATAGCATGAGAGTTCTTTTATTTTCTCTCCTTTGTTTGCTTCCTTGCTGAAAATGCAGTTGTCTTGGGGTTTGGCCTGATTTGAAATGGAAAATTATTTTCTTCCTATTTTAAATGGGTTGTAAAAAAGAAGTCAAAAAACAAAAAACCCTCACAACATGAAATTCTTTTAATTTTGCAGCATAAAAGCAAATGACGGTAAGAAAAAATCTCTTGGTACGAAAGATTTGAGTAAGAATTCTCTCTGGAATAAACGAGGTCCCCACAGATAGCTGAAGGAAAGAGAAGCAGACCATCTGGTACCCGGTACTCTTTGGGAAAACAAAGGGGAGCCAGATCGCAAGACTGCTCTCTTGTCATAGAAAACGGCGAGTTTTGTGGCGTGGTCCATTGCCCAAGAGTGTAAGAAAGAAAGGGTGTTGGCCACAGAAGAGCTAAAATGCAGTTTCGTTTGACCAAAGCCCACGATTATCTGTAGAGTCTCTGCAAGGCCAAGACCACGCAGACCAGAGACCAGGACGTCAGGGAGGAGCTAAGCTTCGAGGCCGAAGATTCCTCTTCTCTGCGGTCTGGGTCCACCGCAGGGGCCTCGGTGGTGACAAACTCGAACTCCGTGGGACACACATCATCCATGCAACCACTGCCGCTGCCTGAGCCGCTGGATTCATCACCTGGTGGTGGAAGATTGACAAGGAAAGTTAGAACAGTTAGCTGGGAATAGTGACAAACAGCATCACAGCTCTTGGGATGGTATGGGAGGAACACTCCATCAAAGTGATGCTGATCTGCCCCATAGATTGCTCTTCACGGGCTGGTTGGTGATGGACCAGAAACAGAACTGAGAGACAGTATTCACTGGTGGTATCTGCGCAGAGTAAACTTGTAACGGGTGCCCTCTCAACCACATTATATTAGACGCATCTGCTGACTAGTATTTAAATGACTAAGAAATTGTGTTCTGGAGCTGGAGACATGGCAGCTCACATCCACCTGTCACTTTATTCTTGGAGATCTGGCACCCTCTTCTGGCCTCTCTAAGCTTTCCCCTACTAAAGTTGCCCATAAACTAACTAACTAACTAACTAACTAACTAACTAACTAACTAACTAACTAACTAACTAATCATCTCTGTCTCTGTCTCTCTCTGTCTCTCTCTGTCTCTCTCTCTCTCTCTCTCTCTCTCTCTCTCTCTCTCTCACTCTTACATATTTCTATCTTTGAAAAGCAATTCTGTTCATTGTCCCTCTGTACTTCAGTGTTGCTGTTTTAAGATCTTATGCTTTTTAGAGACAATTTTTGGTTTTCCTTTGTTTTGGAAACCCAGGCTCCAAAACTCATGATCTTCCTTCCTCCTGTTGCTGTCTCCAGAGTGCTGGGGTTAAAGGTGTATGTCGTCCTGCCCTCTTTAAAAAGACCGTAAAAAGGCCATTTGAGGTAAAAATGGAAAACAAACACAAGCAGTGCAAGCAGGACAGCAGAGACGGCAGTGGAAAGCTGCAGAAGGCAGACACTGTCTCCGTGCTTGGCCTCCTTCAACCCATCCTCATGTTCTTGTCCTAATAGCAAACACGGATTCTTTTCAACCAGCCTCTCTCTAGGATAGGAGCTAGGATGTAGCTACTAAGCTACATCCTGTTGCTTAGTTCCCCATGGCCCCAAACATAAGAAACAGATTCTGTGTTTTTTTAATGTTTGGAATAATTGAATCATGTAACTGTAAGAATTCTACGTGTGAAGTTCAGGCTGACAGTTTGATTATAACGCAGGTACAACTGGTCTACCTCCGGGGGTTTTTCAGCAGCTTTCATATTCATTCCTAGGGTACAACAGAGTAGCCGTGACAGAGACTGTATGGCCCTAACATATTTATTATCGGTCCCATTACAGAGCATGTTTGTCAGTCCCTGTTTGATTCGCTGCCCACACCTTGTCTAAGGGTGCCTTCCTCCCCTCCTGCCCACCATGTCTCTAGGCTTGCCGAATTATCATCTCTCATTGTTTCCTTCATGTTTGATGACATTTTCAACCAACTGTGGAGAAAAAAATAATTCCAGAAAGTTCCAAGAAGCCATGAGAATTTGTCACGTATGAAGTGAAACCCCCGTGAATGGCTTGATGTCTGAACGGGTCCTGCTAAAGCTTACTTTTATGTCATGGTTTCTAGTTTCTCTCTTGCGTTACATACCAGGTAGCTCTACCCTGACTGTATCTATGTCAAAATGTATGCCTTTTTCTTGCTATTATTCCATGAGAAATACAGCATAGCAATTATTTATACAGGATTTATTGTGTTAGCTACAAGCCACAGATTATTTTAAGTATATGGGATATGGGGGAATGTGTACAGATTACATGTGAGTGCTAAGTAATTTTACTTCAAGGAGCTGAGCAGGTCTGGCTTTGGCTATCTGCAGAGGATCTGATAACCAGATCCTTCCACTGTGAGAGAGACTTAGCCTGCTACGTGAACATTCTCCCCAGTACCTCAACTTGTACTATTTATTTACTAGCTTGCTTGTTTACTGTCCATACTTGCTTAGAATATAAACTTCTTTTTTGAGAGTAGATAGAGTCTTTGCATAGACCGTTCTCCTCCAAGTGGCCATTGATCTCTGATGGGCAGCAGATGCTCAATAAATCCTGTTGAATCGATCAATATGCCTTGAGCAATTAATTTAACTTCTATCAGTTTCTATATCTAAACACACGCAGTTGGTAACATTTGCCTTGCAGGCTGTGAGTAGAGACAATTTGATGAAATGTAGGGGCAAATGCATTGCTGCCAGTGTTGCCAGATGGGAAAGATTTGTTTCTTCCTCAAATGGTGAAGTAACGCTTAAGCTACCGTTATTAATTTGGATGGACAGGAGTGAATAGATTCAGCAAGCATCTTTCTCCTCATCTGTAAAAATAAAAGTAACAAGGCTTCTCAGAACTGTTCTGGGGATAAATGAGACAGTATTTATGAAAAGATTCAGGAAACAGTGATTTTTGTATTGAGGATTACTGTTATTCTTATCTGCTCAGTGAGATCAACAAAGATTCCTAAATTCCTGCCTTGCTGTTGGGTCTCCCTGTTCCTGAGATACAGTGCCATTTTGGATTTAGACAGTAGTGTAGGGATTCTTATATTGTTCCCCTGAGTGAGAAAGAACATTCAGTACTGTTTTTCCCGCCCCCTAAATGGAACATCTAAATACCAGATAAGATCATTTGAATACATTATACTAGGTTCTTAACATTTCTATGCCTTATCTTTATTGGCTTTTACAAGGAGAAAAATGGCCATTAATTAAATTCAGAGATATCAGAATTGCAAAGGGAATTGTTCTGAATACCAGTATCACGAGCAAAAAGTAATATAACCTTTACAAAGATATTATTAAAGTGACTTAGAATATTAAAATTGTGGGAAGCAAATAGTGACAAGAGGTTCTGGCTGTGAAAAACAATGCCCAAATCTTTTTGAAAGGGAATCACCAATTCGGGTGTTATGGGAGTAGAATGGGCAACTTGAAAAAACTGTTGCAGGCGATAAAACTGGTGAAGGCTATGAAATGTAATAATGGTTCACAGGCTAGGCACTGCCTTAAAACAGCCACATTCGGTGTTTGGGTTAGATCCAAGGGATGCTCTTCACTGTCCTTGATTTTTTTTTCTTTTGAGAATAAATTGAGAAAAGTCTCTTCCTCCTTGACATCCCCTGAGTTTTGCAGAATGACATCTCTTTAGAGAAGAAAGAAGTGAAGTAAAGCCAATGTCAGGCCGGGCGGTGGTGGCGCACGCCTTTAATCCCAGCACTTGGGAGGCAGAGGCAGGCGGATTTCTGAGTTCGAGGCTAGCCTGGTCTACAGAGTGAGTTCCAGGACAGCCAGGGCTACACAGAGAAACCCTGTCTCGAAAAACCAAAAAAAAAAAAAAAAAAAAGCCAACATCAGATAATCCTTACAGAACTTCACTATTCATCTGAATAGTTACACTCCAGTTCCAACAGTGGATTATTATATGGAGAAGATAGAGTGCGTAAAGCTGGTGTCACATTCTCTCCTGAAGAGGAAGGGAGAGATTTAGCTCACGCAAGAAGAAATAATGGAATGAAGCTGAGAAATTTGACAGCAGCGAAGTCCATCTTGGTGGTAACTAGCCTGTACTGAGAAAATTAATTCCCAGGTTCTTTAAAATGGAAGAAAACACTAAAAACTTTCCATAGGGGGTAGCTTAGTAGGACAGTGGCAGAGCTGAGACGTCTTAATGTCTTCAGTCTGTGACTTGTGCCTTTCCATCTCATTAACCAAATACACACACATCTTCAGCTTCAATGAGCAACTTAAGGGTCATCGGCAGCTTTATGACTGGTGATCAAGAATTATCTTCCTATGAATTCTCCCAGGTTACACACTTAAGAGAAAACCAACACACCCAAGAAGAAATCCTACAAAATCACTTGCTTCTGTATCCATGCATCTTGAAGCCACTTAGGCAAACCCCAAATATACTCAGGTTCATTTCAGTGTTCACTGATGAGAGCCCATGAAATCATGTCAAGTGTTTTTGTGATTCCCCACTGAAACAATCATGTATAATATTACTTTAGCAGTTTACTATTTCTCTAATATTTCAGATATAAATGTTTATAGTTTGTGTCTGTGTACAACTCTGTAGGGAGGGAAATAGTGCTTTGAACCAGCTTACAAACCTCAAGACATTGACTTAGCTTTTTCATAATTACCTCCAATAGGCCCCAAGTTAGAACCTCTTGTCATTTGCTGTTTCTCACACTTTTAGTATTCTAAGATATTTAATAGTGATTTTGTAATGGAGGAATTTGAGTCTCAAGAAGTATAGATTCTTCCCTACGTACAGTCAAGCCACATCCCAATAAAGTCATTCATTTTAAAATGTTACAATTACAAACAAATTCAACATAGGAAACTTCTACAGCATCTTAGCCTAACATGGTATTCATAGAGTGTCATTGTTTGTCCCTGTGTTCCTGGGGCTCACTGGAGTTTGTTGATTTGAATCTTCTGTCAAGAATCATGAGAGAACACTATTCAGTATGATGATAGCTGAAGAAAAGAGCCAAATTCAAACTTTTAAGTACTGTTTCTATTGCAAGTGCATGACCCTTTTGTAAAGATAATCTCTTGTGTAATGTATAACAACTTTGCCTGTCAATAAAAAAGCCTATGGCTGATGAGCTGAAAACACAGAAGAAGACAGTAACATGAAACAGAAGACCAGGTAACCAGCCATGTGGCATGGCTTAGACCAGAATAAATAGGCAGTAACATTATGAGCTAGTTGGGGAACAAACAAAACTTTTGGCCTAGGCATTTATTCATGATCTATTAAGTCTCAGAGTCGTTATTTCTGCAAACAAAGTGGATGGGTAGAAAACCATGAGGTTATAGATGGCTTTAACTAAATATGGCGCCCAACACAGGACATAGAGTCCAAGCTTAGAACAAAAGATTCAGGCTAAGAGTTACAGATATAGATAGAGCCAGACCAGAAGTTAGGCAGCTGTGTGCTAGCCAGACAGGAGGCCTGGCCCTGTAAGAAAAGAAAGTGGGGAAACCAGGGAGAGGCTGACTATGGAAATACAGGTCCCTTATCCCCCGAAGGTGCAACACAGCTGGCTGCTGGAACAAGTAGAAGCCGGTGAGTA